CGCGAGTGAATATTCTACGAGCACGACGCGAGTGTAACATTTTGGAGACTTGTTCAATCAGAATACCGACAGCGAGGAAGACGCTTACTTTCAATTCCGGAGACACCAATACATCCTCTGGAAGCTTCTTCGGAAATTGCGACCCTTCACGCGGTGAAATCCGATATCCATGAGATGTGTGCGAAAACATACACACGCGCGCGCGCGTGCGATGTGCAAATTCCGACTGAGCAACTCGTAGATCGTGACTGAGCAACATCGGGTATCGCGAATGTCGACGGTAATTACTCAAAATCTTGCAAAATATAGAGTTCCCTTTGGAATCTAATAATTCAGCTTCTAGGCATGCTAGAGTAATGGTCGAGGTCTCATTTTAAAGAAAAAGTTTCAGACTTTAAAAAGTATGCAATAAGATTTTTCGGCCTGTTCATACTTAGTCTGTGAAACGTTCCAAAGTCATGAAATTTTTAAAATTTTAACTCGACTTGTTTCTGGTCTTCGCGAAAAATACCATTCGATGGGACGGCATTTATCATATGAACTATTTTAAAGTAGAAGTTTCACCCTTCAAAACTCACTCAGAAAAATTGTCCTGCAATCTCTAGAAGCGGAAATATCGTTTCTTAAATATTGACAAAATTTGCAGATTTTAAAGTAATCCCCTAATTATTGCGCATAGTGTACACTTATTTTCACAATAAAATTTCGATGAAATTTTAATGAAATTTTCTCCACCACTATTACACTATTAATGACACCACTTGTCGAATTTACTTATTGCACTCTCTCTAGTAATATTGGGTCCGGAAAGTTCGTGCGTATTTTCCGGACGACCCAATATGTTTTTATGCAGAAGTGTTCGGTTGCAAAACAGGATATAATGACGTAGGAAAGAATGCAGGAAAGAAATTGAATTCCTTTCTGGTTATGCATTTTTCTTTAATCCAAAGTTTCAGTCTCCAAAGGCTTCAAAAATTGATTAAGGAGACTCCAAAGACTATGTTCCAAAATTGACTGCCTGTACTGAAAATCTATAGTGCACTTGACGTAAACTGCAGCATTTGCAGCACTGACAGTTAATTCGAAATACAACCTCAGTAAATGGAATATAACCTCAGTAAACCTAACCATGCAGACAAATGTAATCATACAGATAAAATCGCTTTCACGAAGGAGTTAAGTTACGTTTGTGACACTTTTCCCACTTTGTCCTGGCGCACTCATTATGCGCAGAACTACAAAATTCACAAGCACTACGAGAGTCGAGAATCAAAACTTAACTTGAAACGCAAAATCGACCTATGTTTTAAAGACTGGCTAGATTGAGTGAAGTCTCCTTAGTCTTCCTTCCTTGCTTCATATCTTGGGAATGATTTTGCGCAAAAAATAAAAGTAAACAGTATTCTGAAAACATCTCGACAAGAGCTATAAGAATATATAATTAAAAATGGCAAATGTCCGCCTTTAGCAAGATTGCACTATAATGTCGCAACAATGTTGCAGCGTATATATTTGCAACTATTATTAAAAATAATTCTTTTATTATTACTATTCTTATTATTATATAATTTGAAATATAATTTGTGACATAAATAAAAATTCAAAAAAAGAACTAAACAATATATTTATATTATAAGTATTATATATTACTTTAATATTACTTAATAATATTGCAAATTTTATATGTAGGTATACATATTTTTTTAATTTTGCAAATGTAAACATATATTTTACACTTTTTCATAGTATATATTGTACACTTTTTTTGCAGATACATCTATTTTGTACATATTCTTAACTAGTGAAATGGAAATAATAAGAAACTCCACGCATTTATTTTTTTTTTTTGCAATATTTAAAGAATTTTTTAAATTCAATTTTCCAAAAAATCATGAGAGTTGATTATAAAGTTTTAAAAATCTTGTCATGCGGCGGCAACAAGATTTCAAACAAATATTTCAACGAACACTGTATTTCATAATGGCTCCCGCACACTGGATACGGAAACACTCACTGCACGGCAAAATGCGACGCAGTAACTAATAAGTTAAATTCATTATTCAAAATATTTTACATTTAAAATGTTTTCTAATATCTCTGTAACAATTCTGCATAATTTGTAAAATCTTATGCCATAATATGTATTATATAGTACAATTTCTAATACTTACAATTCCTAATATTTAATACCTGTCGTTGCAGCAATATTACAGTGCAATCTGCAATATTGCAACATTTCTGCAGTGTTACTACAAGTTTCTATGCTGTATGGGTAGTCAACAGATATGATCACAATAATATTATTTACAACAATATTGCAGTAACATTGCAACAATATTGTATTGTATAAATATCGAAATAATTCTACATATAATTATATACATATAAGAACCTATATATATGAAAAACATTACATATAAAATTATTATATACAAAAAATTGAATTATATTCATATATTTCCTATGACTTAGTGAAAAATTTTTCATACAGTACATAATTGCATATAATTATGCATGCAACTTTTCTTTCGTTATATACATTCATATATAAATAATGTATATAATAAATCTATTCAATTATAATAATATAAATCACAAATTATATGTAATCATATAGGGGAAAATAATGTCGTATTTCCAAGATAAAAATTTATACACTTTGTTTTAAACCTGATATATTTGTACAGGATGAAGGAAAAAGGTCGGTACCCCTGAATAATTCGGAAAATATAAGTTTTATATGTAAGAAAAATGTTTTTTTCAGACAAAAATTATAGGACTTAAAAAGATCTATCTAATTTTATCAATTTGACTTTGAATGGCATTGCTAAAATCAAGTCACGGTCACATCGATTTTTTTTAATGGAATATTCTATTTTTGATGCCAGAATCTAATAGCTGGTGTCAAAAACCTTTCGAAACACTAAAGTAGTTATTTTTTGTTAAATACTTTTCGAGTTATAGGCTTGAAAGTTACAGTACTACCGGCACTAGCATTATGCAAAGTCAGGTCAAAGTCAAGTTGATTTTTAAAAATGGAATACCCTACTTTTTATTACAGAATCTAATAGCTGATGTCAAGAGCTTTCCAAAATACTATAATAAAGTTATTTTTTATTGATTTTTCAAATTATAATGCTTGAAAGTTACAATGCTACTGATCATGTTCTGGGTAACATTTGTTAAGATCAAAACCAATGAAGGTTGTATTTATTTTCATTTTAACATAAAAATGAATTTTTAGTGCAAAAATGAAAATAAGAAGAATAATCTCCAATGGCTTGAGCTTAACAAATGTTATCTAGGACATGATTCTGAACAACATTCAAGAGGTTTTAGCCGTCGGTCGAACACCTTGGGTAATGCTAATGACAGTGGCACTGTAACTTTCAAGCATTGCATAGGATAGTATCCGCCACGTGTGGCGAGGCGCGCGTCCGCCGCGTGGAGCGGATACTATCCTGTCGCACGCTTGCATTTGGCGGTGGGTTGATCGAATTTGACTATTTTCTTAAGTTAATAACTCATTAATAACTCGTTAACCGTTGCAACAATTGTAAAATAATAGAGTATTTTTCTTCTTAGTTTAGTCCATTCTACTATAACATATGTGCGAAAAACTTATCATTAATTTCCAAACATTCTGTATAGTTGTACAGTGCATAAGAAAATTTATCATTCAAATGTCTCATATAAAAAGAAAATAGATATAGGGAAAATAGGGCAATAGGAGTCGGTCCGGTCAGGCGCGGTAATTGTTGCGCAAAACTTTTATTACAATCGATATTAAATTGTTCCACAAAGAACGCTCTTTGATCACAATTAAATTTTAATGTTATTTCACTAATTTAAACAATTTTGACACTGATTCGCTGACGAGTCAAAAAACCAGTTTTTGACTAAATTAATAGAACATAATCGTTTGCGATATGGTGAATCCTCATTGCTGTAAGTTTCTTTCTTATTGTGATATAAAAATTCGTTCGGTTTTTAAATAATTTTGTCCTACAAAATTTGAATACAATTTGGATTGTCATTAGAATCATTTTTTAATGTTAAAGTTTCCGTAAGTATGTGGAGGTGGCTCACTGGAATGAATTAGTTTGTATTGTAATTATAAAATTAATTTGTCTCTGAAGATGGTTAAAAAATGGGCTGAAACATGTAAGTGGGTTATTTAATAAAGACTTTTGTATCCGCATTGTTTGTTTTGCACAATAATTAGAACGCCTGATTCCTATTGCCCTATTTTACCTATTTTCTTTGTGATTAGTAAAGAGTTTTTACGAATTATCTTACATAAAAATCGCCACATCATTGAGATGGCATGATATTTAATTAATCAAAATAAATATAAGTAAATATTTATCCTGATTAATATAATTTTATGTAATTTCTCGCAATAGCTTTGTCAACTTGAACGCGCTCAATAATGTCCCACGCCTAGCGACGGCAAACGCGGCGTCTTGTTGAGCGGTTCTATCGCTTGCATTTGGCGGTGCAGAGCGAATTTGGCTATCTTCATAAATTAATAACTCGTTAACTAATGCGAAAATTACAGGACTTTTCTACTCAGTATTATCTTTCTGCCTCTATGCGAGAGTTTAATCATTCATTGTCAATCTCACTATTGATATAATAATAATAATTAATATTAATAATTATTTTAATGATGTGAATATTAAAGAAATAACACTAAAGATATATAAAGTGAACATATTATATAACACCAACAGAATATTCCCATAATATTAAAAATATATAGTATTCTTGCAATATTATAATATTAATTTATTTTTTAATAATATTTTTATAAAATTCCATGGATATTATGTGCTTATAGGGTTCTTGCTCTTTTTCTTGCTTTTTCTCTTTTCTTTCTCACACTCTCTTTTCTCTTCATATTTATCTGTTTTTGTTATAAACATGATTAGTAAGGATTTTGGTTGATGGAAAAGTTGGTAAGTAAGTCTCTTTGTTTGGTGTCTGTGATGTTGCAGCGGCTTCCAGCGGTGCTCAGCAGGATAGGAATTATATTGGCCAGCCCCTTGGTAAGACCCCCCATTGCATAAGTTCGCGGTTCATGATTACGTTCTTAACCTTCGCAAAAAATACGAATTGTCAAATTTTCTTTATTGCTTTATCAAAAATACAATGGCAAGAAAAAATCCGAAAAAAAAGAAATATGATTACATAAAAGGAATCATTCGTACTATAACACATGTATATGATTTAACATATGTAATAACGAATTAGAAATTTATTATAGAAAAAGATACAAAATATAAAAAGAAAAAAGAGAACAATGTACGTGCAAGGTCTTAACCGCATCTTAGAAACCTACAGATGCAAGACATAGGCTGCAGTTCACTTAGCGCTACAAATTATTTGAAGCGTTCTATTGATTAGGACAAAGAAAGAAAGCATTTATAACACCAAATGAATCACAGTTATATTATATACATATATACAAATATACAAACTTATATACAAACATAGACATTTAATTTTATTATTATATATTCTTTATACTCGGAGATCATATATTCTTTATACCTTCGTATCTTCTTATATCGACAATATAAGAATATATAAAAGTAATGTGAGCAGCCAGTGTTAAAACAAACCCCTTTCACTTCATCCTTAGTGCCAAGAGCGTGGTCTAGTCTGGGACTGGCGCGCTTTGACTGATTAGAGACGAGGAGGTAATGAGATAATTAAATGCGGTGTTTTACTAGCTCTATAGTTGTCAGTGCATTGATTGGTTCGCTTCATAACTACCCACGATAATTGGCGAGGGAGAGATTTCGTTGAAAAAAATGCAATGACAACGTGGAAATGGTAAGTCCGACAAAATGACAGATTGGAAAATCGAAGGAAATTTGGAGAACATTTTTCGCCGCGAGGAGAGGGAAATGCGGAGTACGAAAAGCGGACTTGTATGCATGAAGGAATATCAATGAGATGTCAGATTGAAATATGTCACAATCAGTATTGGCAGAGTACAGCATTGAATTAGGACACCAAATATTATTTGATAAAATAACTATAGCTACAACGGCATCATATTTTCCAAGGAAGTACAAAATTCTAGAAATCTAAAAATATTCAAATAACTTAAGGACACATTCTCGTGTAAGATTTTCCAAAAATCGATTTTTTTACCTAATTGCATATTTCAATTGTACAACATTTCAAGAATACATTGTCAAAATTTCAGAAAGAAATTCGAAGAATTAATAATTCCACAGCCAAAAGTCTATTTGTTTGTTGTTTTCAAAATTTCAGAAAGAAATTCGAAGAATTAACAATACTACAGCCAAAAGTTCTTTTTTTCTTTACAATCAAATGTTTCAGAAAGTTGAAAACTTACTTTATGGATTACACACACACACAGGAATCGCTAATTAACGATAAATAATTTAATTATCATTTTATTTTTAAAAAATTTGTAAAAAAACGTTTTTCTCGAATCGTTTTTTTTTGGCGATTGATACAATTTCGAAAAAACTAATCGATTTAAAAAATTCTTGTATTCGTAGATTAACTAGTTATTGCGTAAACCAGAATAAATCGTTTTATCGATAATTCTATAATTGTTGGTCTATTATAGTTATTTTTTAGCAAATATAGATAATAATGGTACGTAAAGAGATGGTTACAATTTTATTATATATTAGGATCTCAGTTGTTCTTTTTGGCAAATTTTACGCACTATGTAAGTAGCAAAATCATCCAATCGCATTGCCAGAGACTTACCTAACAGTAGCAATATAAGAATTCTGGATCAAAGGCGTGAAGGGGGAGGACGCAGGAGATATTCATAGGCATGAGTATGACGTCACGGGCGCGGCCCGGTCGAAGACATTGGTGTTTATGTAAACATTGACTATTTATATAAACATCAAATATTAATGATACGTGCCACCATGCGTCACATATTATTGATAGCATATATAAAGTAGAAATGTTAAAATCAAATATAAAGATCACACATTTGTTATCTGAGTGACACGTAGTTGTACATGGACGTGTGTTCTAAAAAATGTGTGATCTTTATATTTGATTGTAACATTTCTACTTTTTAAGTTTTAATATGTTCAACAAAGCTTCAGTGCAATGCTTCATGTTTTGTGATGATTAACAATGCTGCATCTTTGTCAATTTGCGAGTGGCTTAAGCATTATGGACATGTGAGCTAATTATACTTGTATCATTCTTGCTGAGGAAGACTCAAAGAGAGTCGAAATGTTCAAAATAAAGAAGACATCAATCCAATATCTGATTATTGATTATTCATTAAGTAATTACGCCGTTTATCGTTACTGACTCTTATTAGCCTACTACATTTATCTTTTTGTATTTAAAATTGTAAATTAAATGTTTAAAATTCGAGAGTCTTAATATAATTATTGTTACAAATATATAATTATTATATATATCCTTCAAATTTTATTAATAAGATTTTATCAACTTAATTCCAATCCTCAGGCTCCGGATCGGGCTCATACGGCCGGAGACCAAATAGTTCCTCCAGATTAAAAGTATCTTCTTTCCACATATCCACTTATTCCTGTCGGTCCCGCCATCTGTCACTACAAATAATCTGGTTATTATATTTATATATA